TGCAAATGCAAATGAACGAAATTGAAAATGAAGCGCGGATTTGAATTTCCTGCACTTCATTTGTGTAATCGCATTCGGCCGCTTTTTTGAAATACCTTATTTTGAAAAAAGAAATGCTGTGTAAACACAGTTATTTCAAAAGAAAACCCTTCTTTCGAAATTACCCTTGCTCCTTATAAAATGAGGTATTCCTCAATAGAGGAATGCAATGTAGACATACTTGGTGTTCAGTGCAAATGAAAGTAGGGGGCAGGACAGCCTCATATATCCATGGGAGGGATGATGGCCAGCAGTTGTAAACAACATCCCTTTATTGGTACTGCTTGGTAAAATTCTCCTTCAGAAAGCTGGGTCTGCACATGTACGTCTGCATCACATCTTGAAGACCTGCCGTTTCAATAAGTAACTGTCTTTTCCTCGGTGGGAAGTGCAAAGAAGAAAAATGCAAGGTACTATGTCCAAGGAACTGCCAAGTTCTATTGCTTTAAGAAAAGAGAAGCAACTATGACTTTAGAGATATTAAAAGAATCAACCCCTCCTTTTTATTAGCTTCAGCAATTTGGACTCAGTGCTGTAGGTCTGCTGACTATTCTCTCTAAATCTTTCTTCCTGTGCTGAGTAGGTGGGAATTTTTCATTTTACTCAACATGTGCAACTTACTGCAGCGATTCCATAGCAATAGCATCAGTACATGAATTCTCTCACTATGAAGCAGTAGAATTCCCATCTGCTCATTAAGAACTCTGGGTCTATTTCATATCTATCCCTTCTTATCTCTGAGTCTGTCCCTACACAGAAAAATGGCACAGAATAAATCAGCACACCCAGAGAAAGATGCTGCTATTGCAGTAGTGTTAAAATATAAGCAGAACATGACAAACAGTGGGTTGACATTGCTTTGATTATGAGTAATTTAGCAGAGAAACAGAGTTCCTAGTAAAATCATAAAAGGTATTTGAGATAACTGGGCCCTCACACGGTAACAGGGGTCTGCATTTGGAGATCTGATTTTTGGACTAAGATCTCTTAGATTGTGAGCTCATGTGTTTGTACAGTCCTAGCACAATGTTCTGTAGTATTATAATAATGGGAGCTGTGTAAGTTATTAAGTGAATGGGTAGATCCTCAGTGGAAGCTCTAGGTACCACAACAGAAATAATAAATATTACACATACACCCCAAGTAACATTGAACTAATCATGCTTTTTATATTTGTGAAAACATTTGCAAATCAATGTGTGTACTGTTTGGCTATATGTATTGGTCATGTAATTATTTTGCACTGTAATGCATGCATAGGGTGACTGCATTTCCTTCTGCTGAATTCGGGACCCCTGTTAAAATGACTCAGTTCAAATGAGCTGAATAGCAATTAATCAGATCTATGCAGTACAAATGTTCAAGATGACTGAGTCCATGTTAAAAAGAAACACTGCGTGGTTGGATTCTTTTTATTTATATTTTTATCTTTAAGATTTGCATTTAAGGTTTCTCTCTCTCGCGCGCACGCGCGCTTGGGGTGAGGTGACTGACAGATCTGACTAGATTTAAACCTCCCTGCCGGGGCTTCCAGTCAGGACAGCGAGTGAACAGCTGGGTGGGTGGGACCAGGAGCTGGGCAGCGTGGGGCCTTGAATGCGTGAGGCCCAAGGCAATCACCTCACTCACCTTGCCCAAAGCCCAGGCCTGGGAGTAATATGAGGTTATACTCCCCCTCTCCCCAGCAGCAACTCTTTGGTACTTTGAAAGAGAGAATAGTTGAGAGCTGTTTCCAGTTGTTAGGGAGGAGACCTGGCCCCTGTCTTTGCAAAGCTCATCTTCTCCATCCTCACAGCCCTATTAACTGGAAGCAGATTGTCCTTTGCTTTCCACACAGTGCAAAAGGGAGCTAAAATCTCTAGGCTGCTGCTGACCACTGATAACCCAGCCCTCACCTGTCCCCTGGCTACAGCATGGGCAGGAAGGGGTTAAGCCATAAGGCTATATTGTGCACCAGGACCCAGGGAATCTGACTGCAAATGCTTCTGTGAACACAGCTAGAGAGGTGACTCAGCAGAGGATGCAACAGCCTCACACTCCTGGAGGGCAAGACCCAGAGTGTGTGTAGAGGAAAAGCTGTGAAGCCCCTGACTCGGGAGCTGCTGAGTATCCTGCAGCGTAGTGGCATGAACACACTGGAAATCATCCTCCCCTGCAGCTATGCCAGAGCTTAGCTGACAGTCAGATAGGTTCCCCATGCCAATGTTTTGCTGTCTCTTTAGCACATGCAGAGCTTGGGTCCCCCTGACTAGCATCCAATCCTGGAGGGTTGTGAACTTTCCCAGGGCACTGGCACAGCCATGGGCAGTGGGGGAAGGAAGCAGCCTGACTGCCAAGCTCTTGGTGAACTGACTACTCTGACCAGGGGCTGTCTGTCTGTCTGTACAGCACTGGGAGTAGGATGGATCTTTCTCTGGCTGTCAGGGAGGAACAGTGGAGCTGCAGGGTCATGAAAAGGCAAAGCCGGGAAAGGATAGCAAAAGGGGGAACACAGCAGAGGCTACACTGACAGACCAACAGGGGGAGCAGCTGGCCCTGTAAGTTGATGCTTTTCCTCACCACCAACCCTGCACGCTCAGTACAGTTGGCTACTGAAACTCCCCCTCCACCTCATTGCTGGCAGGCGACTGGTGAGCTGGGATCTGGCCAGCAGCAAGACCTGCCAGTAATGATTGGAAAAAGACAGAAAACACAGGACAATTTGCCTGTTTATAAGAAAAACTAAAAACAAAAAAAATGTCTGATGTAAGTAGACAATGGGGCCTGGCCCTTACTAGACCAGGCGGTTAGCGTAAGGTATGCCATCCAGCTATGCAAAATTCATAGCTGGATTCAGATTACCTTAAGCTGTGCTGCTGCAGCATCTACACTGGGAGGACAACGGGAACACACACTTGATCAACTTCCCTTATTCCTCACAGATCGAGAAGTACAGGAAGCTGGCAGGGGTACCCTCAGCATTTGATTAGGGTGTCTGCACTAGACATGCTAAATCAAACAATAGAAGATCGATGTCCAGAAGTAGTGGACATAATGTAGACACGTTCTGAATGCTTTGCCAAAGGCCAAAGTCAGTGCCAAATGGCAAACCTGACTTCTAGTCATGTGGCTGAGCTTCTAGATATTATTTTCTTTTGACTGGTGATGTTCAAAAAGTTGGTCAGTTAAATTTTTGTTCCATATTTGGCAGTTTGTAAAATTTAATTGATGAATGGGACTTGCTCATTGCCAGATTTGTGAGGAATCTTTAAAATCAATTCATCTTTCATTACTCCAGCAGCCATGTTAGTGTCAGTGCATGTTTATTTTAATCTCTGTGCCCTTACAGAGCAGATTACACGCCATGGAAAATTTTGGAAGATACTATATTCAACATGAATTCTATTCAATGCAGCTCACTCTGTTTTCTGTCTTTCCCCCTTATTCTTTCATTTACTTGGATAATTTGCCTGAAAACAGGACCTGTGCCTTAATACTATAACACCTTGATCTCTTGGGATATCACAGTCCTTTCCACAGGATATGAAACATGATACACAGACTGCATTATGACGTTAGGTGAGGGAAGAGCAACAAGAGCTCCCAAGCTTTAGGAAACACAGACTGTGATCATTGTATTTCTTAGGGAACTTTCTATTACAGATGCCCTAATCCAGTGTTATTCACTGTCAGTCCAGAAAGCCAGTGGCAGCTTCCTGTCAATAGTGATCTCCAGTGATCTCCAGTGATGCAGTGGGGCTGCCACTGAGGCAGACTCCCTGCCTGCTGAGGCTCAGTGCCACTTCCGGGAGGGAGGGAGGGAGGGAGGAAGGGAGAGAGAGAGAAAGAAAAGCATTTATAGTGTAGACATGGCCTTAGACAAGAAAAAATTAGCCCCAGGAAGCAACAGACAATGACTGTTCTGAAAAAGAAAGGTTTAAATCTGTTTTTCATGTGAGACACACATGAGACTGGAGCTTGCAGCCATGCTGCATTAAATTACCGCGGATGAATATCAGTGCAAACAATTCTATAAGATTACTATTTTTAAAAAATCCAGTTTCAGCTCCTTTTTCAGTTTTCATTCCCACTCCACACAGGAAATAGCAAGATTAAGACACAAAATATTTCAATTTCTTCAAGTGTAATATGTGACTGTGATAATCCTACTGAAGATTAACTTTTCTTTCAATGTTCCTCAATGCCAATCATGAAGGAACACTCGGTCAGAAGTGGCTGCAGTTTCTTTCCTATAAAAGTTGAGAGATTTTGCTTGTGTTAAAGGTAGCTGGGCTGTCAAGAATAAAGATTAATGCAAAGATATGTCTCTCTGAATTGATTAGCATCTTTGGAATAAATATTGATTTTTCAAAAGGCGTACTTCCCATAAATCATGGCAAGCATCACTACAGTCTCTTGTATATTAGTATAATTACCCAGGCGGAAAAATAATAGGGCTAGATTGGGAAGGATGGCATACACACAGCTTATGGCAGTATTCATGTTTGTTGACTCATATGGCTTAACAAAAATGCCATGTCAGGTTCCAGCTTTCTTTTAAGAACTCAGAAATACTCACACATACTAATACCTTTCCATCAAAAACATAGAAGGGGAAAGACCATAGTGCTGCCAACCATTGCTGCGTGAAATTCCTTAAAGCCCCAATGGCAAAGATTTATTTACTTAGTTTCTGATTTTACTCTGGTCATTCAGAGTTTGTAAAAATCAAATAAGAGCTTGATACTATGAGATGTTGAGTCCTCTGGGCTTCGCTTTAAGCACCTGCTTATGGTCAGTGCTGGTTCAGGGCCAAACTGTTCAGTCTCTTGTAGGATCAAGTCCTAAGTCCCAGGGTGCAGCTGGACATAGAAAGGGCCAAATCATTTCCTAATTACATTTTTATGTATGTATTTAGCGTGATCTGCAAGTGACTAGATTGGATTCCAGATACCTTTAACGTGAACCCCTGTCTTTCCTAGATGGTGGAGGCTGGGGGAAGAATGGAAAGGAAGACACCAATCCATTTTTGGAGGAGAGTGCAAGTGCTGCCCTGAGAGAGGGTACGTTGCTGGCTTTTCTGTACAGGAAGATGTTGAGTGGCCACGATTTTAAAAAATTGAGACAATTTGCCTAGCAATCATTCAGTGTATAATCTTCTGACTTGGCATAAGGGTATTGGACTTTGCCAGAAAAAAGTGCCAGTCTAGATGTTGATCTTTCGGAAAATAAAGCCTTTTCCAAAAGATCCCTTATTCCTTATTTTAAGAGGAATAAGGGATCTTTAGAAAAAGGCTTTATTTTCCGAAAGATCCGCTTCTAGACTGGCGCTTTTTTCCAGCAAAGCTCTGAGCCGGAAAAAAGCGACAGCCATGTTTATGCAAATGAAGCGGGGGAGATTTAAATCCCCGCTTCATTTGCAATTGCAATGTGTCTAATTTGCATCCCTTTTACAGAAAAGGGATGCAGTCTAGACACAGCAATAGACTTTAAGGTCAGAAGGGACCATTATGATCATCTAGTCTGACCCCCTGCACAATGCAGGCCACTCACTCCTGTAATCCTCCCTTAGTCTCCTCTTATTCTCCTCTTTTCTAAGGTGAAAAGTCCAAGTCTTTTAAATCTTTTTTCATATGGGACCTGTTCCAACCCCCTCATCATTTTTTGCCCTTTTCTGAACCTTTTCCGGTACCAATATATCTTTTCTGAGATGAGGTAAGATGGATAGAAAGTTGTCTAGACTGTCGGGCCCACCGGGTAGTGATCAATGGCTTGATGTCAGGTTGGTGGTCAGTTTCTAGCGGAGTGCCCCAAGGATTGGTTCTTTGTTCAACATCTTAATTAATGACCTGAATGAGGGGATGGATTGCACCCTCAGCAAATTTGCAGATGACACTCAGCTAGGGAGAGGTAGATATGCTGGAGAGCAGGGATAGGGTCCAGAGTGACTGAGACAGATTAGAGGATTGGGCCAAAAGAAATCTGATGAGGTTCAGCAAGGACAAATAAAGAGTCCTGCAGTTGGGATGAAAGAATCCCAAACATTGTTACAGTCTGGGGACCGACAGGCTAAGTAGCAGTTCTGCAGAAAGGGATCTGGGGATTACAATGGATGATAAGCTGGATATAAGTCAACAATGTGCCCTTGTAGGCAAGAAGGCTAATGACATATTAGGCTGCATTAGGAGGAGCATTGCCAGCAGATCTAAAGAAGTGATTATTCCCCTTTATTCGGCTCTGGTGAGGCCACATCTGGAGTATTGTGTCCAGTTCTGGGCCCCCCACTATAGAAAGGATGTGGAAACACTGAAAAAAGGGTCCAGCAGAGGGCAACCAAAATGATTAGGGGGACGGAGAACATGACCTATGAGGAGAGACTGAGGGATATGGGTATGTTTAGTCTGCAGAAGAGAAGAATGAGGGCGGATTTGATAGCAGCCTTCAACTTCCTGAAGGGAGGTTCCAAAGAGGAAAGGCTGTTCACTATAATGAAGGATGGCTGAACAAGGAGCAATGGTCTCAAGTTACAGTGGGGGAGGTCTAGGTTGGATATTAGGAAAAACTATTTCACTACGAGGGTGGTGAAGTACTGGAATGGGTTACCTAGGGAGGTTGTGGAATCTCCACCCCTAGAGGTTTTTAAGTCTTGACAAACTCTGCGTGGATTGATTTAGTTGGGATTGGTCCTATGTTGGGCAGGGGGCTGGACTTGATGACCTAAGATCTCTTCCAGCTCTATGATTCTATTCTTATTACTGGAGCATGGAATTACTAGCCATAGAGATTCTATGGAACATTTTGGCTCACTTAAGATTTTTACTTCATTTGATTCTACATTTTCTTTCACGTATACTGGCACTCCACTACCTGAACAACCTGTTCTGTCCTTCCAATATATTTTGTACCCCGGTATGACTGTTCCATTGATTGTCCCTCATTCCACCAAGTTTCTGTGATGCCTATTATATCAATATCCTCCTTTAAGATGAAGCACTCTAGTTCACCCATCTTATGATTTAGACTTCTAGTCTTTGAATTTGGCCCTGAAACTGCAATTCTTGGGAACTGCAATTTATCCATATATTTGAAATTTTTATTTGGTTGTTATAGTATGGTCATTTCTATTGTTGTACTAAATATCTATGAATAATTGATCATTTACTAAGAGATATAGATTATGCTTGATCATAGGAAAAGAGAGATCTAATTTACAGAGTGTGAAATGAAAAGAAGACAATAACCTGATAATAAAGATGATAAAAATAAGGAATGAGATATCCTACTTTGTTATATGTTGTGTTGTTGTGACACTGCGTTCTGCCATCGTCTTCACAACATTTCTGATAGCTGTTATTATTTGCAGCTGGATTACCTGAAGTGTCTTCTGGGCAATATGTAATGTGGGAGGTGTGGAATACTCACTATCTAACCACTAGTATAATAAAAAAGAGGGAATCTATATTTCAGGGCATGAGAATATTCCGCTAATAAGCACAGCAGCACTTGTGATAGGCTTGTAATTTGATTGTCAATTTCAGGCATAATAAATCTGTCTTTACTAGAATATGATAGTGGGTGGATCTCATTTTCATACTGTGTTAAATGAAAATAAAAGATCTGCTTCCATCCTCAGTAAATGTTTCAATGTAAAAATGTTTTCCTATTTCCATTAGGAAATCACTTTCCAATAGTCCATCAGTTAATTAGATTATTGTTCTCAAAAAGAGAAATCCTTTTAAAATTGTGAATTTTCTAGGCCTCAACATTCCCTTTATATTTTTTTAGCTTTTTTCATTACCATTTCAAAATCCCTGAAAAATGTTTATAAGAGCCAATTAAAAGCTAACCTGTTGGCTCAGCATGAGGGACTCAGACATTCCCAAATCACATGCCTTCCTGAGATATGATTAAATGCAAAGGGTGGAGGGGGGGTTAGAGAAACAGTGTGTTACCGAACTTAAAAGTGACAAAGAATCCAGTCACTCCTCACAGTGACTGAAGGAGGGAAAATCAATCATAATGTCCGTACATCTTAAAATATGGTTCATACATCTCCATGGTGCATGATGCTCACAGATGAACTCATTGAGAGCATGTGGGGGAAATGGGAGACTGAAAAAAGTGATCACCGGAGGATGCATTAAATATTCTGCAAGCTGAAAGCAATTTCAGTTAGAAATGAAGAAAGAAAAAATGTTTTCATGTTAATTCATTCATGCTTCTCCATCTGCCTAGCAGTCAGGGCCTCCCAATTGGTAACTTACTTGCCAGAGAAAACATAAAATCCTTTGAGCTTCATTCTGATCTCATTTAACACTAAATAAAATCAGAAATAACCTTCATGCAAAACTGGTACAGATCAGAATCAGACTCCTGATTTTCCAACTGTATTTCTGTGATTCAGTTCCATGAGACCGAGGCACATTGTGGTAATTTCTCCAGGTAACATAGAGAGACCACTCACTACCTGCATACTCGTTATGCTCCCCTAGGATTTCCCGTGACACTTCCTAATGGGGCAAAACCAAACAAGCCCAGGGTAGGGTTATTGCCAAGCTGCTGCTATGTGAAGCAGGAGACATTTTTGTTATCTTATTCTGTACATATTTCCTGTTCTTAATATAAAGTTTATCTTGAGCCCAGTCTGCTCATCAGCAAGGTATTACTGATCTTTCACTGAGATATAACCATCATTTAGTTGGCTAGAAAACTGTCAAGAGTTAGCCAGACATGATGTGGTACCCTACCCTGGCCAACTCTAAGCATACCTTCATGCCTTTCTTAGGATATGACTACACTACAAGGCTGTGTCTACATTGGCATCCCTTTCCGGAAAAGGGATGCTAATGAGACACTTCAGAATTGCAAATCCGCGGGGGATTTAAATATCCCCCACGGCATTTGCATTTACATGGCTGCCGCTTTTTTCCGGCTCGGGGTTTTTGCCGGAGAAAAGCACCAGTCTAGACGTGATTTTCCGGAAAATAACCCCTTGAAAGTAGGAATAAGGGATCCTCCGGAAAAGGGCTTATTTTCCAGAAAATCGCATCTACACTGGCGCTTTTCTCCGCCAAAAACCCCGAGCTGGAAAAAAGCGGCAGCCATGTAAATGCAAATGCCGTGGGGGATATTTAAATCCCCCGCGGATTTGCAATTCTGAAGTGTCTCATTAGCATCCCTTTTCCGGAAAGGGATGCCAATGTAGACACAGCCTTGTAGTGTAGTCATATCCTAAGAAAGGCATGAAGGTATGCTTAGAGTTGGCCAGGGTAGGGTACCACATCATGTCTGGCTAACTCTTGACAGTTTTCTAGCCAACTAAATGATGGTTATATCTCAGTGAAAGATCAGTAATACCTTGCTGATGAGCAGACTGGGCTCAAGATAAACTTTATATTAAGAACAGGAAATATGTACAGAATAAGATAACAAAAATGTCTCCTGCTTCACATAGCAGCAGCTTGGCAATAACCCTACCCTGGGCTTGTTTGGTTTTGCCCCATTAGGAAGTGTCACGGGAAATCCTAGGGGAGCATAACGAGTATGCAGGTAGTGAGTGGTCTCTCTATGTTACCTGGAGAAATTACCACAATGTGCCTCGGTCTCATGGAACTGAATCACAGAAATACAGTTGGAAAATCAGGAGTCTGATTCTGATCTGTACCAGTTTTGCATGAAGGTTATTTCTGATTTTATTTAGTGTTAAATGAGATCAGAATGAAGCTCAAAGGATTTTATGTTTTCTCTGGCAAGTAAGTTACCAATTGGGAGGCCCTGACTGCTAGGCAGATGGAGAAGCATGAATGAATTAACATGAAAACATTTTTTCTTTCTTCATTTCTAACTGAAATTGCTTTCAGCTTGCAGAATATTTAATGCATCCTCCGGTGATCACTTTTTTCAGTCTCCCATTTCCCCCACATGCTCTCAATGAGTTCATCTGTGAGCATCATGCACCATGGAGATGTATGAACCATATTTTAAGATGTACGGACATTATGATTGATTTTCCCTCCTTCAGTCACTGTGAGGAGTGACTGGATTCTTTGTCACTTTTAAGTTCGGTAACACACTGTTTCTCTAACCCCCCCTCCACCCTTTGCATTTAATCATATCTCAGGAAGGCATGTGATTTGGGAATGTCTGAGTCCCTCATGCTGAGCCAACAGGTTAGCTTT